ATTGTCATCGTCGTTGCTACCTAAAGTCAATTTTATTGCTTTTTTTTCAGTCTGACCAAACAACGCTTTGCAAAGGTGTTTTTCAATTTATTTATGAATGCATGACAAAAAAGATAAAAAGTGAAGTTCTTACTGACTAAGAATTCTAAATAAAAGATTACGTTATTTTACTTAAAAACTTCTTTAAAAGTTCCGTTTACTTTTGGCAATTGGACGCACACGTAGTCTCGATACATTACTGATAAGATGTTTAAAATGCGAGTTCCTTTTACACATGAGAGAACGTATTTACTTGTGATAGTACGTCCTTGTGCTTAACTCAATGAAACTACATGTCCAGCGCATTTTTTGGGTATCAGTTAAGGTGTGCATAACATTTTAAGGCTGGTACAAAAGTATCTTTGCTATTCTACTAACAACTGGAATAATAGAAAGTAATGAAGGTACAAAATATTTATTTCCAAAGATTTGGATGAACATATCCCTTGAATGGCACCCTTTTTTAATGACGGTCTCCATGTCAAATATGGTTTAAAGTTAATTGAAGGTGCAATGCCTAACTATTATTTTACAGGTCATGCACCACCGAGTCCCTCCCTCATTCAATCAACCGAGAAAAAATAAGGGAGAAAGCGGGGTAGCAGTGTTCCTGTTACAGGCGCGAGGCGCTTTGATGAACTCTTCCATTTCTCTTGGAGGGTTGTATACTCTGGATGTCAAGGTATTTTTTCCTCTTTCCTGATTCCGTCTCGGGAGAGTTATCAAACCTTAAGCAAAGTTATTTCATCCCAGATGTTTTGCCGAGAACGGAACTCTGGAGCCAGGGTAGGATTTGGTAATAAAAGCTCTTGCCTCTGTAGCTGTTTATCGGTTCTAGCTGAATCAACATGCATACTCAGTGACTGTACGAGACTCCCAAGATCGACAGCTGAAGTTAGCCGGCTTTGGTGGTAACGTAAACGTTGAGGATCGTTGATTCTGCTACCCGTAAATCTTTCAAAAAGCCGTATCCTGTTGACAGACTATCTGGCAGTCCTTTTGCCAAGGCCTTCAAATCATCTCTTGAGCCCTGTCTCAATGAGTTAAGTACTGTTCTTTGCCGTTTTGTCCTTGTTTGAGGATCTTTCGACAGAATAAATAGAAAATAATTCAGACAAACAATGAACTGAACAACAACAAAATATAAACAAACAAACAAACATACAGAAACTAAGGGAATTGCGAACAAGGGAATATCGTTGGAATATAAATATAAAATAGGGTGGATTCATTTGCAACATACAAGTATACTGTCGCATTTGCCTGTTGGATCTTTTATTGGTTTTGTTGGCTTAAAAACGATGAAAAATCTCCAACAGTCAACTGCGACAGCTATACGCATTTGTTGCAAATGAATACACCCTTCATGTTGTTTTGTTCAAAGATTAAAAATTAATATAGTTACATAGTTACCAGGAAAGCCGCGTTAGTAAAGCATTCACGACATCCGTACGTTGTATCTTCATTAACGCTTTCATGAACGTCTTGACTGTCATGTCTGGTTTATCTTGAACGATGTGTTCCATTAACGCTCTGGTTGGACTTGGTGTTTCTTTGGGCTTTAAACTTTCACATATCTCTCTGGGAACATCATACCTCCAAGCAAAATGCTGCCAGTTTTCTACTCCTGGTGCTTCTTTTTCTAACAAGGTTGCTACCTCTTCCAAACAGTATGGGTTTTCACAAACAGTTTTAATTGTGTGGCAAGCCTCTGTGAAAATGGAAAATTTATAAAATAAGGGCATAAGAACAAATAAATTATATTCTCCCCTGGCTGGTATATCAAAATGCATATATAAAAAAAGGCAAATTTGTTTTGTCAAATTATCTGAATGATATAGTTTCAGTTAAGTAAACCTAATACAAAAATCAGGATAAGCAGAAAGAGGTAAAGGTATTTTTTTCATAGTACACCTTCGCACCAGAAAGCAATCAAGATGTGAAACGAAATGACAGATAAGGGAAAAACTGTCGAATTTTATACTACAATACAGCTGGATTCCCAGTCATCCTCGATGAGATCAATGTTACGTATACGTCACCGTCAAGAGTGCCAGGGGAATTCACTTTGGATGCCTATCAAATAAAGTAAATTCCGAAATGGCGTCGCAAGGCAAGAGCCAAAAGCTCCAGGAAATACAAAAAGCGCCTAAAATATGCTGGAATTCAGGCCACGAGCTTTCGCTCTCGTTTTCAAGCCTCTTCCGCTCAATCCTATGGCGCGAGTTAGCCGAAGGAAGATGTTGACTGTGACGTTGATAATGATAATGTGCACTTCGATCGTTTGCAGAAGTCTATTACTCTAAGTAATCATTAGGCCGTTGTTGTCTACCACTATTGCTCATATTGCGTGACGTCACAAGAGTAAGTATCGAATATTTCCTACATATCGAAATCTATTTAACAATCGAAATTTAATAATTAACAAGAAGTTATACCTGGTGGCAGATATTTATCCAGCGCATCGCACACATCTTTTCTCGACATATCTTTTAAGACAAGCTTCATCTCCAGCACAGTCAGCTTAGGGTTTCTTTTTTCGATGATCTCAAGGACTGTTTTTGCACAGGTGGAGGAAGTACCGATTCGCTGGAGCTTCTTGTCCGGGATGTTGATCTTTTCCCCCAGCTCTTGCCAATAATGCTTTAAATCCAGGTGCATGCAAATGAACTTAAAGGTCTTGGGGTGATGTTCACGGAGGTCTCGCAATGGTGCAGTATCTGTGCAAATGACGCACGTAGGAGATTAAGTAATGAACGTGAATTCCACTTAGCCATAGTTATTAAAGTGGTATGGTTAGGAAACTCGTTAGACTCCTTTGTTATATGTTTTTGTTCGCTTTTTTGGACCTGACGGTGCACTACGTTCAATAGCATTCCTATCATTTTGAACTTGGTGACCAATAGAAACATCGCATTAATTTATTCGGATTAATTTTTTCACCGGCAATTTGTGAACAAAAAACAAAGGACTGTGCACGGTCAGGGAACTTCCAACATAAACTACAGCACCGTTGTTTTCAACTTTAATGTTTGCCGGCTTTCCTAACCAGTCTCCTCTACCAACTATGACTTAGCTCGTGTATTATAGTTTAATCAAAAACCCTCTAAGTAATCCATTTGGATTTTTTTGCAATAAATATGCAGCTAATTTTGGCACATGTTATCAAGTCTGCACTCAGTTCAGCTTCATCAAATTAAGTGGGAGACAAGGTATCAGCACGTAAACTCACGCGTTACAAATCTGAAAGTCAGATTGCTTCCTAATCGATATGCATATCGGTGGAGGAGAGAAACAATGAAACGTTTATTAGAACGAACATTAGTGACCTAAACGGAAAGCTCAGAACTTACCAGGAAGTTTACATTCTTTAAGTTTTTTGACGAGATCATTTCTGGAAATAGCGTGGAGTCCATCTTTGAGTTGCTGAACTGAGAAGTCGGGATCCACGGCTTCTTTAAACTCGAGCATGTGTTTGCTTGGACTGCAGTGAGGATTGTGCTGACACCATATTATAATCTCGTCCGGTATTTGTAATACCTCAGCGAGATGGATCCAGTTCGAGGTTCCTAGAGGACCGACCGGATCCAAACCGCGAGCAACGTCATCCTTTACATTGACGTCTGTTAAAACACTTGTAAGAAGCAAATCTGCAAGATATGAAGAAGAGCACCATGAAACGAATTGTTGATTAATTGTAATGCATCGTACTTTTAGCACTTTTTAGCTTGAATCGACTTTCATCTTATGGTCTTTCAGGTGCCAGAAAGTCCTATGTTTTTTTTCTCTTTTTATGTCTGGAAGGAGGTAGTGCCTAAGGCTTAAGAGGAGAAGGGCGATAACGCCAAGTAAACGAAAAATAAATTTTTAGCACACTCAATTCAGTATCTTAAGGAAAACTGATATGTCGAGATTGTCCCGAACCAATAGTCGTTAAGGTGACAGTGTATAAAAAATCAGTCAGACAAATAAAATTGAGGAAACTATGAAAATTATAAGAAAAACATTAATTGAAAATTTAATAAACAATTGTTGTAATATTTCATTGAAAGTTAAGACTTCTGTAGATATTTCATTGATATCAAAGCACAGCATAGTTAATATGTGGCAGTTGTTAAAAAGCTCGATATATTTCTTCGTTGTTTTTTTACACAAGAAATCTTTAAGGATTTTTAAAAGGAACTGAAAGATTATAACATGATTGTCGTCTTGAAAAGAAATGACCTCACTATCTAAGAAAAAGGCTCGTATAGATAGATAGCTCGTCAAAATTGCTGGTCGATGGAGGCTTTGATTGACTCGACCACAGCTGCTATGCTGTAATTTTCTTCCTGTATAAATAAATGCTTTTATTATTATTATTATTATTATTATTATTATTATTATTATTATTATTATTATTATTATTAAGGGTTGCTATTATGTAAGATCGCTTGTCTTTTATTCTTGCTGAAGCTGGCAAGTAGGATTTTTGCAAACATTTGTCTGTATACCTTCAGGAATACGTGAAACTTGGATGTTTAGGCTGTTTGCATCAAAAGTCGTTACGCTGGATACACCAACAGGTGTTATTAACTCTGTAAAAGATAAACAGAGATGTTATATCAATATCTTGTTCAAATGTTACCATTGCCGCTGTTTCTGCAACTGCGGTTTGACTTCATTATCCCTCTCCCAGCCAAAATCTCCTGCACTAAGCTGGGATGCAGAAATTCTGCGTTTGGTAGAACCGATGTAAATTGGCCAAAATCCGCTACTCTGAGCTAGGATGCTGAAATTTTGCATTTAGTAAAATGAGTATACATCACTAGAGAGCCAACGAACAATGGTAGTAGTAGGGGTGGTGTTGGCCAAGAGGTTGTGATGGCAGTGTGAGGTGGTTGGTGGACATGGTCTTGGTCAATCGTTTCGTAGTTGTACAGCAGTCGTCGTCGTCAGTCGTGTTGGGTGTTGTTGGGTTAGGCTCTACTCTTGTTTTCTAGGCTCAAGCGATCTTAAGGAAGCGTTTGGGTCTTGGTCCTCTTTCTTGTTAAACTACTCAATTTTTCATGATCTCATTGCTAACAAGAATATATATTTAATATTTAAAACAATTTTCAGAGTATCAATTGCTAATTTAGATCCGTTGTGTAGCACAGTGTGTAACCATGACCGTATTGGCAAAAGCCTAAAAAATGGGTGAAATTAAGCAATGTATTTGAGCATCAGTTTTTTTAAAAATTACTTTTTAACTACCTAGTTGTATAAAACAAAACCTGTTTGTTTTTGTTGTAGAGGAAATCTAAAAGAGCGAAAAAATAGCAAAGCTAGGATTACCAGTGGAGGACGCAGCAGAGCTCTCTGTACTTTGATTGTTTGATGATTGTCCATTGGCTGCAAAAGATCATTAAGTATTAAAAGCAATAGTCACTTAGCTAAGTATAGCAAACTGAAATGCACACTTTTAGTTATGAATTATACAACGTAAGGGTAAAACTTGGTCTACCTCCAAATGCTTAAAATTCAATTATTTGGTAACTGGAAATCAATTTTGGACCTTCCATTAAGTTCAGAAACACTAGCAATTGTTTAAGAGTCGTTTGAACTTTATACATTGTATGATGGAATTAAGCTCTTATTTTCCACATCACTTTGGATGTGTTTACAGGCGTTGAAATGTCAGTGCTGCTTATTATTTGACCCATACCTTTTTGAACATCCAGAACAATCTTGACAATAAGTTTACCTTTAAATCATCCAGTCTCTTAAATTTTACGCAAGGGTTTACTGGTCTTGTCGCTTCATCATTTATATTATATAACTAAGTGTTGAGTTTTGTTGATTTGCCCGTATTGTATTTTTTGCATTCTATTTTTAACATTTCATAATATAGAGCTGTATTCTAACTGCATTCTTCTTATTTTTTTTAAACACGAAAATGCTAACCGCTTAAAAAAATATTTGATTAAAAGCCCCATCAGGAGAGAAAATAGCCTCCCACGTTCTTAGGGGTTCGTCACGCCTTCCTACCCCACGAACGTCGTTCGTGGGAGAGGAATGATTGCGTGACGAACCCGTAAGAACGTCTGCGTGGGAGGCTAGAGAGAAAAGTAAAGTATTATAAATGTAACTGTAACTTTGATTTACAGGAAATTAGTTCTATGCATTTGTCTTGAATTTATGTATTTATATATTTGAAGCGATTGTCGTCATTTATAACAAAATTGCTCTTTCAAAATATTGTGGATCCTGCTAGATTTTAATTAAAATCTTGCTGACGATAAACAAGAATATTTCATTTACCATAAAAATTGCAATGCTCATAGACATTGCGTATGTTCTCAGCCGGCTGTCTCAGTTCGATCATTTCTTGTGCCTCACCTGAAAAAAGAAAACTAGTGTTTTTGTCATCACCATACTGAAGGAGCAGTCCATGAGCAAGGAGGATAATTCATGAAAGTGACGTTTCCTTTTGAGCCAGTTTTTCCCATATTCTCAGGTCGTTGTGTACAGCATGGTTAACAATCCAGCAGCGGGTTTCTTTAAGTGATCTTTAATTTAACACAATGTTCCTGTCTAACCACGGACCTCTTTCATAATGGCGGGCGATTATTATATTCTTTAATATGTATGATAGTTAGCCTTTCTGACCTTCTTTTGAAAGTATGAATTTTTCAGTGTATTTTACACATGCTTACGAGGTCAGAAAGGATAATTATCATACATACAAAAGAATCATAGGCCGTAATTATGAAAGAGGTCTAATCCAACCATCTAACCATCACAGTTATTCAATACCTTCATAAGAACTCTTTTAAATTACTCATTACATTAAATGTGTAGTGGTATACAAAATGCATAGAAAACCTTTTAAGGGTAAAAACAAATACAACTGCAAAAAGGCAGAGCTGAAGTGGTGGTTTTGAGTGGAAATGACGTATGAGACCTCTCTCATAATTACCATCTAAACTCATCCTTACTTTAGCTGCTGCGGAGCTCATGGTGCAACTGGCTTAGTGGGTCATGGTGACAACAAAAGCCCCCACCACAAAATCTGCAGTGAGACCAGGCACCCAGGAGTTGGGTTATAAAGGATCTCTGTCAGCAAATTCATAATTGTTACATCCGTCTCTCCTTTTCTTTTACTGAGACACCAAAACCATTGCACTTAGCAAATTACTTTTCTCTACTTAGCAGTGGAGTGATGTACTCAAAATAGTAAGACTTAGTCAAATTAACAGTCTCCTTTTCTGTGCATAGCAGTTAGTATCGACATCACTGCTGGAAACTGATAAATATTTTATTTTGCATATAAATTTGGTAGTCAGACTGTCTTTTTACATATTATTTTTCTCTCAAGTTCGACTCGGGTCATCACCTGTTAATAAGAAATTGTCAGTTCCACCACATTCACTTTATAAAAGGAGGCCTTTAACTTTCAAGCTGCGGATAAAATCCAAGGTAAGTGAAGATTTTGCTTGCTAATGGCACATAAAAAACAGTTGAGGTCACCAGGTGTAGTGGTGCAAGGAGACGTATTCTTGCACTCTTTAGCTTTCTATAGGAGGACAGTCTGAATATAAATTTCTGGTGAACAAAACCTATTTTCGGATTTGCTTTCCCGCTAAAATTTAGGCCGCTCTCTCTCCTCCTCTTGCCAAGTCTCACTGTTGATTTTCATATTACTAGCTCTAGCAGCCTATGTTGTTTTCTTAAATTTAGAATCGGTTTTCTATAAATGAGTGACTTTGTACTCATGCATATAGCCACTAGGAGCCCAATTCTGGCATCTTTTGTGGGAACGGAATTCAACTGTTGGGGCCCAGAATATTGAGCTCAGCCTAATGCAGCACATAAAGAAGGATATAAGTATACGTAAAGAAAATGCAGTAGGATATTACCTTGCCCAATGCTGTTGTAGATCCTGCCTATCCTGTGCCTATTTCGCGATCCGTTGCCTGTCTTGAGTTTGACTGCACACATTATAGCACCCAGCACCAAAACACTTAAAACTCCAACAAGTCCGTACATAATCTCATGCCTATTGAGGGATGAATCACCAGGCGCAGCTACCGATTTCCTGATACTCTTAACTTCAGTGCCTTCACTTGGTATACCGGTAGTGGTAACTCCAGAACCACTGGTTTGAGCAGGCTTACTTGTGGGTAAAACTGTCACTAAAGGACGATTTGTTGTCGTTGTCGTGCTGCTTAAAAGTGAAGCTTGTATTTCGCACTTCCTGTTTTTATCGGTATCTTCACACTGCATGTGCCGTGGCATTCCAAGAGCCTTACACTGTCTAAGATGTTCATGCTCCAAAGCATCCTTGCAACAAAATGAACACTTCTTACAGTCATCCACTTGAGAATCCAAGTAATACTCTGGAAGGCATGTTCCGCATTTGCTGTTGTTTAATTTGCTGCACATTTGAAGAACATTTCTTCCCGTGCAGTCATTGCATGATTTGCATTCAGAAATGTCGTTTTTCTCAGAGTATGTCTTGTTTTCTATACACTGTTCGCAGTCTGTGGAAGTAAAATTGGAAACTCTGCTACCACATTGCACAGGTAGACCATAGCCAGGTGGGCACTTTGGGCATATTCTACACGTTTCTTTTGCATCTGGGTTACTTGGGTAGAATATGGTAAAGTGTGTTAACTGTGGACATGTTGGTTGTCGACTTCCCGCTTTTAATATGCAGCATGACCAGATAAGGACCACGCAAACATTCAGGATTTTCATCTGTAAATGTTGAAATGCAATGCGTTGAGGCAGTGATGAGAAAATCCAAACTCATTTGTCTCCTATCTGTTCCTCGTTTGTGTGCCCTCTCCCTTCGCCTTTCCTCTATGTCTTTCCCACCCCTTCCCTATAAAGCTAATCCCCTCCTTTTTCCTAAAAACTAAATTACACTTTATTTAAGTGTCAAGGTATTAAGCACGAAAGGACTAATTGGGGACACCATTTTTAAGTCTCCTGCTGGAGACGGGACTGCCATTTTACGTGGTCATCCGAGCCACTCGAAGGTCTATCCGCTTGCTGTGCAAAGCGGGTACCTTCCTTTCTCAGTTATTTTAAGACCCGGAGTATTGGTCCGGCACCGAGAATCCNAGGAAGGGATACAAGTACACTTAAAGAAAAATACAGTAGGTTATTACCTTGATCAATGCTGTTGTAGATCGTGCCTATCCTGTGCCTATTTCGCGATCTGTTGCGTATCTTGAGCTTGACTGCACACATGATAGCACCCAGCACGAAAACGCTTAAAAAAACTCCAACAAGTCCGTACATAATCTCATGCCTATTGTGGGATGAATCACTGTATGCAGCTACAGATTTCCTGATACTCTTAACTTCACTTGTGGGTGAAACTGTCACTAAAGGACGACTTGTTGTCGTTGTCGTGCTGCTTAAAAGTAGAGCTTGTATTTCACACTTCCTGTTTTTATCGGTATCTTCACACTGCATGTGCCGTGGCATTCCAAGAGCCTTACACTGTCTAAGATGTTCATGCTCCAAAGCATCCTTGCAACAAAATGAACACTTCTTACAGTCATCCACTTGAGAATCCAAGTAATACTCTGGAAGGCATGTTCCGCATTTGCTGTTGTTTAATTTGCTGCACATTTGAAGAACATTTCTTCCCGTGCAGTCATTGCATGATTTGCATTCAGAAATGTCGTTTTTCTCAGAGTATGTCTTGTTTTCTATACACTGTTCGCAGTCTGTGGAAGTAAAATTGGAAACTCTGCTACCACATTGCACAGGTAGACCATAGCCAGGTGGGCACTTTGGGCATATTCTACACGTTTCTTTTGCATCTGGGTTACTTGGGTAGAATATGGTAAAGTGTGTTAACTGTGGACATGTTGGTCGTCGACTTCCCGCTTTTAATATGCAGCATGACCAGATAAGGACCACGCAAACATTCAGGATTTTCATCTGTAAATGTTGAAATGCAATGCGTTGAGGCAGTGATGAG